ACTGAGAAACGACCAGATCAAGTTGTGCTTGCCATAGAGTTTCCAGTTGAGCGACTGCATCGGTATCATCCTCAGACTCGGGCTCGAATTGATAAGGTAATATCGATGCCATTTTTGTAACCTTATAGCATGTTTACAAGCAGGGTTGCGGTGTAACGGAATACTTGTAACGGCGTTACGTAATCGGGATACAAAAATCTAGTAACTGTAATCCATTACAGTTACATCAAAAAACAAAGTATTCAGATTACAGTTCCATTTTGTAAAAAGTGGGAATACTATCAGGATTACATTTGTTTCATTTAAAATTAAATAAATGAGTTTTTGACATAACACTATATTTAGCGCTGATTCATCATACAGTAGTTCCTGTTTCTTTTGACACTCATGTTGACTCACGTGAGCCACCTGCTGGTGCGTGCGCAAATAACAGCCATCTACAATTATTCTCCTCAAACACGGGATGAGACGCTGCTACAGTTAATTACGATGCTTCCTGCTGGGAAAAACGTTTTCATGTCTGGAAATTTCAGTTATTTTGTCTTCAAAAAGGATAAAGGAAATAACATAGTTGTACAGCGTAAGCTATGCATGAAGACTCTTGCTTTAACAAAGGCTACTCAAACAACTTGAACATTTGCAGGTACGACTAGCATGGAAATCATCATGTTAGCTAAAATTTTGTGTTTGTTAGTGATTTAAAATCCCATGGTGTGCATGACTGCAGTTGTGTGTAAGTTTTATAGCGGAAAATGAGCTGGAAAATGTAGAAATCAACACGAGAGTCCCCACACCACAGATCAGTCAATGAAATAAAGAAAGATCATAGCATTTCACATACATTTCGAAATGTAGGCTTATTTTAAAATAGACTAATATGTATGTGGTGTAATTTTTTTTATGTTGTGTATAAACTATATTTATTTTTACTTGTACATGTTAAAGAAATAAAAAAAATAAAAATAAAACTGTAATACTAAACTGTATAGCCACTAGATGTCTGCATAGCCTTTTACATAAAAAAAATATATGGGCTGTAATATCTAGATGGTGAAACAAGACACGATTTTTAATAATTTCAAATAGTTTTTACTATAGTTTTTGTTAGTTTTAAAATCATAGTTAAATAAAAGTACTTAGATATTACTGTTATATTGTGGTACTTGGATTACATTACTGAATACGTTTTTAATGAAGTCATTTGTAACTGTAACAGAATACATTTTAAAAGTAACCCTCCAACCCTGTTTACAAGTAACCCTCCGGAGCAAAAAATGAATTATGGTAATGGAAGTTTCATTTCCGACACGCATTGTATACGGAAAGACCAATCACAACAGACTTGGCCAGCTGACCAATCAGAGCAGAGTAGGCATATGGAAGGGAGGAGCTAATGCTAATTTAAGATTAGGCATTATAATTAACACTGTTACTTACATGTTGTCGTATTACTGTCAGTTCCATATCTTACAGTAAAAGTCTGTTTGCAAAGCCTGCGCCAAAACTGCAACTTATTTACCAAAGAATCCACAGTGAAATGTACTGAACAAAACAAAGGATTAGGATCCTTTGAAAGGTAATGTTTTTTTTTAGTCTAGTAGTGATCCTGTATTGATCTTCTCTCTGGTGGGCGGGGCTAAACAGGTAGTGATGTAGAAGCAGGTGTTGATATTCTGCGGAGGGGGTGTTTAGCCACATTATTGCTTAATAAAGTGGCACATTCCACAACCTAGACTAATGAGAAAGTTTTGAGTTATGAAACTTACATAATGTTTTTATAGTACAATGGGAATTTTGATTTCTCAGTTCATGACCCCTTTAATATGTAAAATGTCTTAATACTTAGTTTAATTTAGCACATTCAAGCAAATATTGTACGCTATTATAGTCAGAGTAAAATGAACGAAAATAACTAGTGCTGTGTTCAAAATATCGATACGACAATGTATCGTCACAGAGATTTGACGATACGAGTATCGATACAGCTGGCCCTGTATCGATATTGTGGCACGTGTGCAGCAGTGGACCACGCTTAATTTGTTTAAAATTTTACAAAGTTTAAAATTGAGTAGAAAAGTGCGAGGTTTCTAAAAAAGAATGAATAGAGCATATATAGGCTACAACAAGGTTTAATCTGGCCGCAGAGGAACACACCTGGGTTGCCTGATATAGACACGTAATCCCCGAAACAGAGCTTCACACTTGTGCAATACGGAAATATCTGCTAAGTTTGTTACTTATCTTTGTCAACCTGGCAACCATGTGCACACGCGCTCTCTCTCCACTGTGGATAAACGCGCTTGCTTTCTGAAAACACCAGTTAGCTTGCAGTTTAGCGATCTCCACTTCAAGTCTATTCTCAGAAAAGTGT